GTGATTGAAGGCACGTGAAATTAGCAGGCATTGTCCTGCTCCTCAGTAAACTTGCTATGATTTCAAACAGGAATCTCAAAGCAGACCGAAGCTGACAGACTTTCTGTCTGTGCAGCAGGCAAGGTCAGTCTTGAGGAGCTCCAATGAACCTCCACCAGGGTGTGAAAGACATAAGCTGTGGATGGTTKTGGAGCAGATGGTCAGACACTGATCAGGTACATAATTACAGGCAACAACCTGAAGAAGGCAATTTCTCAAAGCTCCCTACATGGCCCGTAAAGAATGGTACCTCTGGTCCTTCAGAGCAACTCCAAATGCTCAGCCTTGTGCCCACATCGTGGTGAAGGAGAGCTGAGCTCTCTGCACTGATTAGGAAGGGAGCCAAGGAAAATCAGCCTTCCTTTGTATAAACCATCTGACATGACTCTCATACTTACGAGCCAAAAAGTGTATTTCTGTCCCTCTTGTTCACATGCACCTCTTTTGCTCTCAGGAGGAGCTTGGTCTRTGCTGGGGAAGAAAGATCCAGTCTACACAGGCAAGTGAAGTGCTGATTGTAAGATCAAAGTTAAGCATCTCCATTCAAAGTACTCCAAACAGGAACAGAGARTGGTGGTTCTCCAAGAGGTTTTTTTAATTGGGTTTCCTGTGTGTAGTTTAGGGAAAACAGACAACAGGAGTTGTTAGAAATAAAGCTGCAATTTACTATCCTAACATGCTGAGAAGCAATTAGATTCAAGCTAATTACTGTAAATAGTTATTATAATTACCTGTAAATTTTTCAACTACCTGTACATCTGTTAAAGTCAGTCAAGACTTGTACTTTTTTTGTTGTTGTAAAAGAGAAGGCTTAATGTTTTTACTTAAGGGCCAAACTAYTTTCTTGAACTCTTCAAAAAGAAGTAACTATACCATAGACACTACTAATGGAGAGCACCTGTTAGGGCATGTATTCTGTTGAGAAGACTGAATGAGAGTATCAGTAAAGTGTCTGAAGAATTGTCTAGACTAGTTTATATCTACAGAATCCTAAAGGATATTTCTCAAAAGAAAAAAACAATTGCAGCTGAGTACTGATTTTCTTAGCTTTKTTCTATTTATTAGGTTTCTATCCSTACCTGAAACATGAATAAAATACTGTCTTGCTAACATCTTTTTATCAAGAACATTTTTTTTATTTGACACTGGACAGAGTGTGGCCTGGCCTTCTGCACAGTTTTATACCACACTCTGACCAGCACACAARCCAGCTGGAGTTCTACCACTTCTGTGCCCTCACACACAGATCTTGGTTCTTCCTCTTTACACAGGTCTTCCAGCTCTTGTCCTGAACTTGGCCCARCTGTCTCTAGTTTGGACAACTATTTTTGCAGCAGCTGATGGGTGCTGAGCCCATCCTGGCCTGCTGGTTGGGTTCTGGTTCACCTGACACAGGTGTCCTGATGCCTGGGGGCAATTCCAAAATGCACACACAGGTTATTCACATTAGTTTAAGTATACCATAATGCATTACCAAGCTTTTTTCAACAACATGTRACTTCTACATGTGTCCCAGCATTTCCCACACCAAATACACACCTTCAGTTACCAAAAACCCCAAAATGCAAGTACAAGAATGTGTTGTTGAGTTGTCCTAYCATTTATGAGCTTCACCTCAGCTCTGCTATTACTACCACAGAGGAGACCACAATTTGTAGCACAGAACAGGGAATGGTAGGGGACCTGTCAACAGAAAGGTTGAGAGCAAGTCCRAATATTGGAATGTGAGGGGAAAGAGAAATTAGAAGTCCATTTTTTACCCTCCTATGTTTGATACTTTATTAGCTCACTCCTGCTCTAGGAGGACATTTCCTTGCACACCTTTGCCTTTTAGCTTGTGGTAACTTCAGGAGCTTTGCACGGGGCTCATGCAGTTGATTGAAATGCTGCCAACAACCTCTGCAGCTGAAAGGAAAAACTGCCAGGAGCCAAGGTGATGGCCACAAGCTGCTCCAATGGGATTTCATGGCTCTCGGACTGTCCCATAGGCCTGCTGCATTTTACCAATGATATCACTCAACTAATGTCTACAAACAGATAGACCTCAAAGTGGATATTATACTGCTGTATCAACAGAGGTGTACCTCCAAAAGGTAAGGAAATGAAGAAGCAGAAAGCAAAGCAAAAAAAACCCTAAAATACGTGCATTTCTTTAAAGAACTTTTGAAGTGGTTTCACACAAGAAAATGTCTTTCTTGAAGTTTTCCCTTTGAAATACTGGTGTCTTGCAATCCCAATATATAAAAACATTTCCTTTTTTAAAAACTGACATATGGCAAAAAAATTGGTAGCAGTAAATAAATGCACATAAAGCTAAATTGTGCCATCCTAAATGTTAGTAAAAATGACAAAATAAAATACTATCTATATAAACTATGCACAGGTGTGTAGCATATTACAAGCAAAAAACATATCTTGCAATTATAAGCCCACAGTATTTATTTCACTTGTCTGTAATTACATTTGATACATGTTTGTTTAGTAATATCAATCCAAGACATCATTTTGAGGATATAATTARCTGCATGTTAGAACAGAATGTGTTTGACTGTTTTTGTGGATTGAGAGACAAAAATCTTTGTTAGCTGTATTTAAGTGCCACCTAGTGTCACAATCCACCAATTTCACTCAGAGAACCCTATAAATTTCTAGAGCAAAATCAATTGCAGGGTTAAAATAAACCTAGGGTCCCAATGCTCCCATTTCAGTGCTAACATTAAGTCTTTAATCCATATGGGCAGTAAATACAGATCTCAGGGTCCCACTGGCAAGTACCTACTTTTTCAAATTTTTATAGCAGTGATCCAACAGTAAGCTCACACAAAGATAGAAGTATCTAATGAAGTAAGAATCTTGGGGAAAAGGCTTTTTATAAAAAATTATCAGAAGTGGGTGTTTTTTTCTGGAAGATGCACAACATAACTGGAAGCTGAGAYGGGGGCACAGATGACATGTAACAGCAGGACACACTACAGTGAGGGSCCAGTGCCTCACTGCATTCAGACATGCAGGACAAAGCCTTTCCCCATGGACACGACTTTTTCTCCCAGCGCTGTATGCTGACCACGACACCATACAGTCTGGAACATCACCTGGATGGGYTGGGATCAGCTGTCCTGGCTCTGCCACTCCCATCTCCTTGTGCACTCTCACTAGATGGGGTAGAAGCAGAAAAGCCCTTGACTCTGTCTAAGCCCTGACCAGCAGAAATAAAAACATCCCTGAGTTACTCACACTGTTTCCAGCACAAACTCAAAACACAGCCCCAGATCAGATACTCTGAAGAAAATTAATTCTACCACAGCCCAGACCAGCACGTGGGGATTTCTGGCTGTTACCAGCACTGTATTTTTTTTATTAAGTTTAAAGCTTGTATTCTTGACAACTTCAGAATCAACCTAGGTTAAAATAAGAGTTTATAGCTCATTAGCTACRAACTTCACCCACTGTCACATAAGGCAGTCATTAGGAAATTATGGCTTCCATCCTGTCTCTGTTTCTGCAACACTGAACAATTGATAGTATCTGTAACTTAACTAGAATGCTTTTTGCATTCTGTCACAAATGGCATCTATAATGGTCTATGTAAACCAAARTGCAATTTGTCTCTTTTCTTCCTGAAATTCATTAAATGTTACAAAGAAAGAAAGATCGCAGCCAYTACAGAGAGCTGGTGTAGCTCAAAGTAGAATATGCAAAACACTTGGGTTTTCTGTTAAATTTAGTGAGACCGTAACCATTAGCTTTTCGCACCATTAGAAATGAGGACTGACTCCTACGCCTCCGTGACATTTATTGGAAAGTCTTGTCTTTAAATCACAATGATAAAAAAGAAATTAAATAAGTTTTTTAAGTACTATTTATCCTGACTGCTACAACACGCAAGGGTAAGTTGACAGGTACATTAAAGAACTTCTACTTATGTCATGAAGTGAATTAATGTGAATTTGTTGCAGAAATATAAAATCAGAGGATGGGGAAAAAATAGAAAATATAAAGAGATGAAAATCACAAGAAACAACTTCAGCAGTAAGAAAGCCTTGTGATGAGGTGTCTTAAACAAGGATCAGAGAATGATTAGATAGAAAACATTTAGGCATGACAAGGACTTTCAGAGCAGCTTTTAGAATCTTCTGCAGCTGCAGACGTGCATAGATCTATTGGGCGCCAATGAAATGAAGAAAAAAAGTATTTTTCAGCTTTATCTGGCTTGGTATTTTTTGTTTTATGTTTTCTGTAAAAGGATAAAACATGCACGGGGAGAAAATGGTGGATTAATTGTGCTTTTTTATTTGAAGTACATTTTGATGTATGATTGCCTATAACGGACTAAAGTTACCCCAGGAACTCTTCTGCTTTGAGGCCGGGGAGGAATTAAGCCCTGACACACGGGCAGGATCATACCAGAGGATCTGGAAACCATGTGAAGAGCCGGGTTGCGCTGCAGCCGCTCTTCCGGGCCGGACACGGACGGCTCTGCTTTGCACCAGGGGAGGAATTTTTGCTATAAACGCAAATCGCAGCAGATCACCTGAGGGCTCCGGGGTGCGCAGGCTCTGTGAGGGGAGAGCCCTGGCACGCGCCCCCGGCCGCCCCTCAGCGCTCCCGCCCCGGCCCGTGATTGGCCCCGCCCCCTCCCGCTCCTCCAATCCCAGGGGCGGAGCCCGATCCCGCCCCGCCCCGCCCGAACCCGCCCACCGAACCCGCGCCTCGGCTCCACCTTTCCGGCCGTCTCCATGGCAGCGGGGGCGGGGGGTGCTTTAAGGCGTCCCGGAGACCATGGCGGGTGGTTGCTTTTCTTTTCGAAGCCGGCGAGGCTAAAGGTAAACCAGCTAGTGTATTTGGTATTTTATTTTTATTTGCTGATTTATTCTCCCGCGATCATACGGGATGGTACATTTCAACGCGATCGTAAATCCATCCCCCCCCATCGCAATGGTAGGGCTCAGGCGGTGCGCGGCCCCGCTGTGGCCGTGGCGCTCCCGCCCTGTCAGGGCCGCGGCCTGAGGGGAAGCGTCCGCGGGTTCTGAGGCGGAGGTGCTGCCCTCGGCCCGACGGGCCTCCCTGGGACACTGGAGATCCGGGGGCTGCCCGCGGAGACTCATCCCGGGATGCTTCAGGCCTTAGCATCCACCCAGGGCAGCAGCGAGTGGAGCGATTGCCCCACGGTGCAGCGAGCGGAGGATGCTCAGGCTGATGCCGGTTTGTCACTCCCGCTGGTGCTGGTTTATTGCTCCAGTTGTAAGCTATAAGCGCCCCTAAAGACAAGAGGTGCGTGCGGCGGGGTGCTCTAGCTTCTGTCGCCAGTAAAGGTGTGTCGCAAAGAGCATGAAGTGCCCCGGCTGAGGGAAGGAGCACTGAAGGCRTGTGCTCCGTGTTAAACAAGGTGAAGCATTAGCAACAGGCCAGGTGGATAGAAATGTGTTCAGGGAGTGGTAAAATGTGCATCCCTAGAAGARGCACCCCAACTTCAGCAGAGGCTTTCAGAGTTAGGTATGACTCGTCACAGTGAGGAGACCTTAACTATGTTATATTAGCTTGAAGTCTTTTAGATCACCCACCCTTTGGTTATGAGTATGTGATAAATTGTTTTATTTTACTTAGTCTGACAACAACGCAGGTACCTTTGAGGTGAAAAAAATAGGCAAAACATTTTCAGCCTTCTGAAAAGTGTTATAGGATCTTTATTTGCATTAGTGAGCAGTTGATCTCCTTAATAGCTCAGAAAAAAAAATACCAGCAAGTTCTAAACAATTTAAACTCTGCTCCCTTATGTACTGAGTTACAGTGCTGAAAAGCTGAGCTCAGGAAATTATCACTTGATTTTTCAAGCATTCTGACATTAAACTTAAGTAGGTTAAGTTTCCTTTAGTGGCTTAAGTTGCTTAGTTTAATCGTGCCCATACGTAAACATAGTTTCCTACAAACAGGTCCTGTATCTGTGAGAAGTAGTTTACAAGTACAGCTTTGTGTTTAGGGTAAAATGATAAAAACCAGAAACCAGTAATTTAAACAGTAATTGACAATTTATGCAAGGACAGTATGTGTGTGTGTGTGGTTGTGTGTGGTTTTAAGCATCTGAAACACAAGAAAGCTTAATGCTAAATCTGAAACTGAAAAAAAAAAATGCTTCTTTTATAAATTATTAGAATACAGTAGGATTTTCCTAAAACATAGTGAGAACAGCARTACTGTGAATGTATTCAAAGCATAATGTAGCAATGTCTTATGGCAGGTTTTGTGTAGATAGCTGATGTATAAATATAATGTGTGCAACTTTTTAACCAGAATTGTTTAGCACTGGAAAGTGTATGTTAATATGCATGTTTAGAAGATYTTAATTTCACTTGGTTTTCCTTTTACAGAGTCACAAAATCAGGGCAAACAACTAAAGATGTCTTCCTATTTGGCTCAGGAGGCTCGCCTTGCTAGAAGACATGAGGAGATGTGAGTAGTTGTGCTTTGCCTTGCAGCAATTTGTGTTGGGTCTTGTGAGATCTCGCTCCCTGCACACAACCCTTGGTGCCAGTGAATCYGAGCTCTGCACAGCTCAGTGCTGCTTCAGCAAGGGGCTGCAGTTCCAGGAGGTGGCACTCTTCCTTCAGGAACCATGGGAATYAGCATCCTTGCCTGCCGTTAAGGGTATTTAGGTTGATGAGGTTTTTTGACTTCCAATGGTGGTAACTGGTTTAAGATCTCCATTGTTGACCTGTCACCATTAAATTCCTATTTGGAGAAGGTAATTGGATTCTCTCGCTCAATGCCTCAATTATAGAATTGCTTCTTTGTTGCCCTGTAAACTCAAATTGTGAGGCAAATACAGTAATGATTCAGAAAAATTTGCTTTTCTTGTAACAACTAGTGCGTGCCAATGAGCAAATGTAGTACTGATCAAGTCACCCCAACCCACCCTGTCTTTCCYGTTCTGGGAGCTTTTATTTCCAAGCACCTCAGCATTTGAGGACTGTTGGTTGCAACATTATAGCTTCATACAAGCACAGCAGGTGATGCCTGCCTGTACCTTTTCCCTCCCCCAGCACACCCACCCTGCAGCCGGCTTAATTAGCCCCATAGTTTTGAGAAAACTGGGTAAGGTAAAAAGGTTATTTTCTAGCTCCTGAGCAAAATGTTCTACCCACTTAGCAAAATGTTTTCCTTTGTAGACTGTCTCAGAGATCAGAGCTGCTACAGCAGATGGAGACTTATCTAAGAGACAAAAAGACTAAAAAGACATGGCAAACTCAAGCAGCTGATGCAGCTCATAAAAGGAATGCAGCACTTTTAAATGTAAGTTTCTGCAACTACCAGGAACCGCATCGAAATGTCATGGTTATGTAGCTTAGATAATTAAAAAAAAAAAAAAAAAAAAAGAAAAAAAGAGAAGTGTTTGCTCTATAGTTGTCATTTGAATTCTCTTCTATATGGTTCCCTCTTTTGGAACTTGACCAAGATGTATTAAATGACAAGTCTTTATTATCCGATGGCATCACTACCTATTTCCCATGCCCTTCTTACAAAAGCCTCGTGGTGGCAGCTGCTACTATGTTTTTTGGGGKTTTTTTTWAAGTACATGTAGAGATGTAACACATGCTASTATGTGTCTGCCTGAGAGAACTTAGGGGTCTGTCGTCACTCACAGCCCCTCTACTCTTTGATTCAAGCCATGGGGCTATGTTTGGAAATGGGCTGACCAGGCTACAGTGCTTTTAAGCCAAGTTTAGGAACTGTTCTCCCAGTGTGGTTAAGTTGTGGAAGAGGTTCTCAGTTTAGTGTTTTTCGCTAAAGAGGTATAKAATGACTTCAAGCATTTTACTTGTAAGTCTGCAAAAGCAGTATTTGGTGTTTCTGGCTCTTTGTAGGGGTGACATYATTAAAAATGTTCATAGTTGTTCTACGTACCTGTTTTCATATTTAGGTAAGATTTGTTTCCTAGGTTAATTCAGCAGACATTGGAGAATGGGCAATTTGAAAGATCTAGGTTTGGTGGCAGGGACTGGAATACTAAAAGGCTCCTCTGGATCCCCTAGCTCAGGCATCTGAGTTTAAAGAGAGGCACTTGACCACTGACATGATGCGTTTGAAAACTGTTWCCCAGTTTTTCAGGAGATGGCAGAAAACTGAACCTCCTGTGCCTTTTCTTAAGGCTCCCACTTATTAAGGGTCTATAATGCATGAAATGTGTTTATTGAAAAAGTGAGTTTTTCTCTAAAAAATTGCAAGATTTGTGTCACCAGAATTTCTTTGTATTTTTTTTCATGCAGAGCCTGGTTCAGATTTTAAATGTTGACTTTTTGGGTGGGTATAAATCTRTTGCATTACAGTTTGTATTTAAATKGGAGTAAGATTTAGAGAGGGGCAGAAAAGGCAGAAYAGTTAGTGAAAAATGCCTTTTTAACTATTCTGTGACAAGGAAGATTTTTCAACTTCAGCTGGTGAACTCGGGCAATCAATCCCCCCTTTACTGGGTATAGTAAGTGTAGATGCTTCAGTGAAAGGCTGGGAACAAGGGGATGGTTTGGTTATTTTTTTCCATAGACCTTAATCCATTGATTTAGTAATTTCTCATTTCATTTTGACTCCCAGTTTCCGTATGCATTTTAGGTTAGATTTTTACTTCTTAAATGTAGGTTTTCAAAATTATTTGTATTTATGAATGCATTCTCACTTTACATATGCAGGCAAACACAATAAAGGCAGAGTATATTTCTCCATCCTGAAAGCTTTATTGTATTGGAAATGTTAACAATAGCTCAGACATATACAGAGTGTAAATATTTCTGCAGTTAAACAGATATTTGCTATCTTCTGTCACTTCCTCAAAATTGTTCCTTTCAAGTGTCAAAAATGTTGGTGTTTGTACAGAAAAAAAGCAAAAACATATGTATCAAAACAAATTCTGTTGCAGGATAAAGTAGCATAAATCAATTTAAATCTATTAATTTTATCCTAGTTTTAACAAGCATGCACTCCTGCAGATGCTTTTTGGTAACAGAAGAAAACAGGAAAAAATATCTATGCAGCATAATATATGAAAAGCTTGAAAACAAGACTGATTAATGTGCCAGCTTCAGAATATTGTTCCTGATACCAGGCACTGTACATTTCACAGTTACCATGTGGAGAGTTGTTGATTTGGCCTACTCAAAAATACATGGACATGACGAAGTGTTATTTTTTTATTTGCATTTCTGTTTTTCTGCATGTAAGCAAAATCAGTTGTTTTCAGTAATAGACCGTAGCAAAAGATATTTTTCTTTCTCTGTGCTAGTTGGTATTTATGTACAAGAAAGATTTCAAAATTAATTTAAATTCTRATCAGTAGGAAGCAAGGAACTAACCTTTTTTTTTTTAATTAAAATTTTGACATTATAAGCATTTGTTCAGCATTTTAACATAATTATCAGAGTATTTTCCTCGATGTCTTTAGAGGGAGACTGCAGATTAGGGAAATCTGTATCATTTGGTGCTTATATAATGTTGTCGTAATAAAAGCAGAAATTAGACTAGTATTTGTAATCTAATTTATGACATTTGTTTCTCAGTGATATTTCTTGTGTTTAGAAATATGTATTACTGTGCAACAGCTTGTAACATGAAATAGAAAAGAAATAATATGCTATATAGTAATTAGTACTGGAAAGGTAATTTAGAACAAATTTGCTTTCCTTCCCAGGCATGCAATTCCAGAATTATTTAAGTGGGATTCTGCCAGACTGATATCAATATAAGTGACAGCTGAATTTGGTCCCCTAAAAGCAATGCATGTGTCATGCATTCCATTTTACCTCTGGGGAAGGGTCTTGAATTGTTTTTGTTCCAGTCCTTGTGGTTTTAGGGGAAGSACTGTAAGATGCTCTCTTTTTTTCAGTACTGTGACATATCAGATTAGCTGGTTTCTTTCCCAAAGAAGTTTATACTGCTGATGTATTTATTTTTATATTGATGACAGGGATTTATTTTTCCTACAAAGCTTACCAGTTGTGTAGACACACAAGAAGTGCCATCTAATCTTTCAGTAGTTCCAGTTATTTTCTAAAGCATGCTACACCTTCCAGCAAAAATTTCTTTCACTGTCTGTCATTAAATCAGTATTCTGAATGACAATAGACTGCACAACACAAACTGGAGTGAGCAACGAAAAGACACGTCCAATATCTAGGCTATGCCAAAGTGACCTTCTCTACTAAACATATATGCACAACTGCTGTCTCCTTTCTTGCCTGAAAGACACTCATTTCCTATTACCATAAMCATTCCAATGACTTGGCTGAGTCTATAAAGAAATAATGATTGATATTCTTCCTTCCTGTTAAAATTCCTGCAGTAATTAGGAAGAAGGAATCAGAAAGGAGGAAAATCCTATGGAAAAATATGAGGTGAACATTACTAAATAATCCTTTATCCAGTATGGCTCATTATGGTGGTAACTTCTCCAGACTTGGCCTGAGCCATTCTAATATGAGCTTCATTTGGTGCTGGTTTTGTGTGTCTGTTCTAAGTATGTGCAATGAGAAATTCTTTGCTTAAGTCACTTCAATCTGTGTTGACCTCTGTTATTTTGACATTGTGCTTTCAAATGGCTTCTGTCCTTTCTCATGTTCCCTCTTTATCCCATTAGTCTTCTATTACCTGAGAAGGGCAGCCATTTGCTACTTCTGAGAATTTGGGTAGGTCTGAGACTTAGTTTATTCTTTCTTGGACATCCTTTAGCTTCCTACAGTKGTATGGATTTAGCTGTAGAAAAGGGAGGAACAGTTTTCCTTGGACTAGGTTTGTAATTATGGACAAGAGAATTTCTAAAAGGAATTAATGAAATAAAATAACATGAACACTAAATTGAACAAACTGACTGTATCTGTGTCACTAAGTTGAACTTCAACTGACAGTAAGGCTRTTTTTTTGCTTTTATTAATCATACTCTACTGAACAAAACTTGAATTGAACATTGTTTACTTATTGATGTGTTCAGACTGGCTATTATTCAATACGAGTAATCATGTTTGGTCTCTCTTGTGGATATTCTCCTCCAGAATCTCACTCTTCTTTTCAGCAGCAGTGGTGGTGAATATTTGGGAAGTCCCTTTGGGGAATTTCCTCTCTCATTTAGTTTTTCTGTTGTACTCTTCACACCCGCTCTCTGCTCCCAACTCTGCCATCTGCTATACTTTCTTTCCCCCTCCACTCTGTTCAGCTTTGGCTTCTTCACACCCCACTCCCACGTCCCTTTCTGTCTCTCTTCATCTGCCCACCACTCAATCTCTTCAATGTTTGGGTATGGAACTAAGCCCACAAGAACGGGTCAGAACTTTAARGGGGGAGGGTGGTTAGTTTGGGGGCATGCTTTGATTTGTTTGTTGCTGTTGGTTTTTTTTTGGTTGTTTCTTTTTTAAAAGATTTATTTGGGCCTCTGTGAATCCAGCACACATCCACTGGACAAGCAGAAACCCAAATACTGATTTTTTTTTGTAAGAAAGCTATGTGAGGTGCATTGTCATCCAAGTTTGTCTGGTGAACAGCTTGCTGCAGCTCTACATTTTTGTGCACATGTTATGCATGCATATTAGCAAGTCATCTTTGTCTTGAGAAGTAAAGATCTTGCACATAATTTGCCTAGTTACTTTACAGTTACAGTAGCTATAATACATACTTCAGTCTTATGCAGCACATAAAAAGATRTTCTGTTCCCCTCTATTTCCTTAAGTTTAATAGAACAGAATTTARCTGATTTACCCTGGTGTCCAGAGAGAACAGCAGTGTTTTATAGCAAAACTCTTACTTGGTTGTGCAATGTACTCTTGTATGGAAAAGGTGCAGCAAACATTTAGCAGCTGTAGGGTGTTAGTCTAAGTAGTACAAGTTATATTTCAGAATGAATAAACAAAGATTTGAACTTCAGTGTTTTTATTTGAATGCTGTTTAGCTGTAATGGGTTTATTTCATTAACTTAATTGTCTTTATGTGTGTATTTTCCTTTAAAAATTTCCAATGCATGTTTTTAAAATGTACTTTGCCTGTGTTTTAGGATCTAGAAGCAGCAGAAAAAAAGCTGCGAGAAAGAGTGAATTTACTTCCACATCCCAATACTGTTAAGTTAGAAGTAAGTCCTAGAACTCTGTCTTTTCATTTGCTGTTTACCAAATATTTTGCGAGTTTTTTTCCCCTGAAGCATGTTCTTAAAGTGAAAATAATTGATTTTAAAATCCAGTGACTGGTATAGCCAAAGGCCTGTGTACTGTGTAGCAAGCTGAACCTAAATTCTGGGGCAAGGTCCCTAGATTCTGGAGCATTCTGGTGGAAATATTTAGTAGCTTTCAGATCTATACTAACTTCTATTTTAAAATGAAGTCACATATAAAAAATAATATTGCAAATAACAGAATATTACTGTGTTTRCTATGTCAGAGCTTTTTTATGTGATCATCTTGTTCTCAGTTTGGCCCAGATTGTCATCTTTACATTTCAGGATCACCAATTGATCAGCATGAACAGAGAAAATTTCACATCAGTTATTTTAGAGTTGTATGGAAGCTTATGAAAAGTATTGCAGCAGGAACACTCGATGGTGGTTTTATTTTTTTCTTTTCAACCTGCTGTCCCTAGAGCATTACTTTAAGATAAAAATGTTGAGGAGYCAGGTTCCCATTTGCTTCTTGCCCCGGTGGGTTCTGTGCTGTGTGGTGGCTTGGTTCCCACAGGCACCRAAGCAGAGTGTCCCAGGCTGGTTTGGGTGCCGGGGCCCTGTCAGAGTAGGGCAAAGGGCCAGGTTTCAGYGCTGTCAGCTGTGAGGAGAGGTGTATTGTACCTCAGCTTCACACCTGCTGGGCAAGTGTTGTCATGCTTAGGCTATTACTTAAAGGAGAGGCATCACTTCTTGTTCTGGTTACTGTTCAAAGTTTTCATCTGTCATTGCATTTTGTAAATAACCTACTGTGACTGTGACAGGGTGCGCACTGAAAGTCTTTTCAGTGGCTTTTTTATTATTTTTAGRCATTTTAGGCAAAAGGGTACATTGTTTTCCTGAATACTTGTACATTTTGAATGATGCTAAGGAAGATGCCAACCTACTAACATTAAACCTATTTTGACTGTGTTCAGAAGTAGTTTTAGAATTTTCAAGGACTTTGGAGAACATTTCTGGAGTTGTTTGGGTCAGTTAGATCTGTGGTAGGTGTTAAGCTGCTTGTGGTGTGTCAAGCAAAGTCTGCACAAATTGGAGGCTGCAGAGCGATTGCTCGTGGCTGCAGAATGTCTGCACTCTGCAGCAGCGGTGAAATTTTGGAGAGAGCAGAGTTACTATTTGAAGAAGAAGATCCTATTTCAGCTTTTCTTTTTTTTTATGCTTCTAGAGAAGAGTGCTATAAATAGTGGAAAAAGAAAACTTTCTTTCATGGTACAAAATTCTTGTGCGTGCTTTGTTCCAAAACACTTCTGAGCATATTTCACTCAGCCATATATGTGTCTGTATTAATATACTCTGAAAGTTATGGCTATAATGGATCCCCAGCTTGCTGAGTCGGAGTAGTTTTGTGTGACAGCACATATGCTTGTCAGAAAAGATTCTTTGAGTAAATCTGTTGAAGAAAATATTTTTGTAAATCTGCAAGAGCCATAGTTATATCTGAGACATGTAAGGATCAAAATGATTAGCCAGGAATCTAATACTCTGCAGGGAGATCTTTGGTTTTATGCTACACTTCTCCTTCATTATATACTTAAGTAAGTAAAAAARAAGGCTCACTTTCTACAGCAAAATTACATTTTTCTGAATGGACATCAATGACAAAAAATACTTATATTGGTGGATGRATTAGTGTTATCTTAACACAGTTCTTAGATTGTTTTGTGGGGAAAATAAAAAGATACATGGCACTTAAAATTTTCCTGAAAATCCTACAAACAGCAACATTACTCTTAGGATACCAACACAAAAATGATGAATGATGAATAACATGGATAAATAATACATTAAATTTAGTACTCAGAAGCACAGTGTAAAGCAARAGGAAGGGTTAGATGATCCACAGTGATTCTTCTAGACCACAGGTTAAATATACAGCACTTTTTWAAATTATTTTTGTTTGTGATCCAAATATTGGAGATTATTGCTTCGTCACTGACTTACCAAGTCTAAAATTTTACTCAGAGATTTTGAACCATGGTAATGTAAACTATTCTAGGATAATGAATTTACTTTGGTAAATGTRCACCTTTCATTTCTAACATTTTTTCCACTGCAGAATTAAATACCAGTAATATACATACTGAAATATAAAAGTGACTTTTGGAAAAGTGTATTGTCATGGAAAATAATTTATTAAAGGTACTGTAGGGTCTAAACTGATGTGCTTACCACAAGAGGGCACATTCAGTCACTTCACAGTTCGTCCTGCAGAATGAAATATTTCTGAGCTGATATTTTGTATCATACAAGAGATTTGAAATTTCATATGTAAGTGTGTTGTTCTTTTCTGAATTGCTTTACTCTTAAAGTAAGATTTAATATTGCATTGCATATCTATATTGTTTTAAACTGGCTGACACAGACTTTGAAATTAAGTTTATTTTTTCTTATATCTTTCTCAGACTCTGTATTTGGCATCAATAAAAGATTCTCTTCCCAAGTGGGAAGAGTTTCTTTTAGGAAGAGCAGAAGTTCCTATTGGCTTTAAGAAAATGAAAGCTACAAAGCAGAACATAAACTACCCAGAAGAAGATTCACAGAAATAAACATTCTAGTTTCATTTTTGTCATTTATCACTTAAGCAGAGAAGATCATCCAGATCAGGCAACAGAATCATGCCATTAAACTGAAATGTAAATAATTTAAATGAAAATGAATTATATTGGATATTTTGATTCCGTTGTTGCATTGTGTACGATTCCTTATTTTTATTCTGTGGTAGAGAAGCAGTCCTCAAATGGACTTTTAGGATCAAGAATGAGAAWCTCTGGTGTACAGATTTCCACCAAAGCAATTGGGTTTTCAGTATGAGAAGAGTTTTATGTTATTTTTAATCCTCTGCTTCTACATATGAGTGCGATAAGTAAAGACAGATTCTTGCATTATCTTTCTTCACTTCAGTCATCTGTGCTGCATGCCTGCTCGTGGATGAGGGAGAAAGGAGGAATTTACTGTTAGCAGGAAAGGCAGACTGTTCATAGAGTAGCCTTAGTTTAGCACCGGGAATCTGTGTAARAACCTTCATGAGAGCAGTTGTAGARGGAAYGAACTTGAATTTCTGAATCTTATTTTCCCTAATTTTTGTCATTGACACTTTAATCACTTCTACACCTCTCCAGGCTGCTTTTCCCAATCTCCTTCTGCCTACATTGTATTTCCTGTCTAATGGGTGGGCAAACAAATCGCTTTTTGCTACTTCTAGCTGCTCTTAATGCTGTTGTCTTTCTGCTGATACAATCTACAAGGGAGCACTTTTTCTGAGACATGAAAAGTTTGAAAGAAGCAAACCRGAGAGTAACTGGCAGTGGCTGTCCAAAACCAAAGCATATACAGAGGCTGAGGACATAATATTTTTATTTTCAGCCATTGARCAGCTTCTCAGCTTCCTCCTACAGAGATGCAGTATTAGTGAGTTTTAATTGTACTGGTCTAACTAGGTATGAAAAATTCACTGGTACAGAACTTCTGAAAGTGTCAGTTCAGTGGAAGATCCTTCCCGGTGTGTGACATGCCTGCAGAAAATTAATCTTTCCTAATAAAAAGCAGCCTAGTAAATATTAATTTATTTCATTATTGAGAACCTGGATTTGAGTCAAGATACAGTTAAAATTTAATCTCCTGCAACAACATAATTCCACCCCCAACCTGGAAGTAGTAGGAAAAAAAATGTACCTCTGCCAGTGTCTGAGGATGTGAAAATATAATGATTGCAAATATTGCTAGGTTACTAGTTATCTTGAACTATGCATATTCATACTACAGAGACCCCACTATTCAAAAAAAATTATATCCCTATGTAGCATGAARAATAACTGACACAATAAAATCAAAACTTTAGGTGCAATATAAAATTACACAGAAATATAATTACAGAAATAGAATTACAGAAATATAATATTTCTGTGGAAATATTTTCCACAGGAATATTAGGAGTTCATTTGAAACTTTTTCTATTGAAGTGTCCATTAAACTGATAAGTTTTTACAGAAACTGCCATCTTAGAATTATCCTGTTGAGTGGGTGTTGGTGTTTGTAACAATAACGTTGTTTTCATAATATGTGATGGCAGATTAGCACGCTTCTCTGCAGTGTTGTTAACAGTTGTAATTAAGGAATAAACAGTAAAGGGTGTCAGTCCGATGACAATTTCATCTATAGTGTCACAATACAAAATGTCACAAAATATTAGAACTGTTATATAACTACAAAAATATCAAATTAGGCTTTCATCTTACAAGCTGAGAGCTTAAAAAAAACCTGGCATAGAGACCATTGCAATTTTATACCTACTCAGTGTTCTGTCACAAAGACAACTTGGTAATATTTTCTTCTGTAAACTCACAATGTGATTCTCAATCTGATTTAGCGGGAACGTGTATGGATCTTACAGTTGTAGGGCTCACATTTAAAAAGCAAATAATTGGAATCGGTTGAGCAGGCAAGGGAAAACCTATTACACATGATGCTCAGAATGAAGGGATGGATGAGCAGTTAGTTGCTAACAAAGACTGGGATTCATCCCGTTCTTTGCATCCAAAGGGAAATCACTTAAACTAAAATCTGGGCCCCTAAGTACTTTATACATGCGAATAATCAGGGTCTTTATCTCTTTCGACTCCGCCTAACCACTGGGACACAATGCAGACAGCTCACTATCTCCTTGCCCCTGGTGATTTCCCTGGAAGGAGAGCTAAGTGTGTGGACACTGAAGGCATGGCAGCTCGATGGGTGAGGATTTGGCAACGTGCATGAAAGGCATCTGCAAGCAGTGTTAGAGTAGTTACCATGCCTGTTAKGGGATCATGTAATATGCCTGAGAATGAAATGAAATTAATCTTCAAAAGAGAAATTTAATTTTTTTTTCCTGTAGCCTAACTTTAGAAACAGTAGGACAACTAGCACAAGGAAAATTATATAGGAACATGYCCAGAAAAGGAAAAACTGAATGAAGAGAAAGATTTAAAGCAGGAAGGTGTGTAGGTGACTGCTCTCAGAGACAAGGGTCTTCATGTTGGCCTGTGGTTGAAACAAATGAATGCAATTACCCAACAATAAGGGCAGGGGTGACACAGCAGGGCCACTGAGGTACAGGAACAAGTATCTCCTGAGTTGGGGCATGCAGTGGCAGGGAATATAATTACATGGCATCTCTTGTTCTACTTAGACTTGTTGAGTTTGATTCACCATGGTCTGGCTACCTTGGTGTTTGCCTTTTTATAAGTAGAGATTTGAGAAAGCAAATGTTAAACTTTAGTGGGCTTTAAAAAAATTAAGAATCCCCCAAACTAATTTATACTGATATGATTTAATATTGGTCTCCTATGAGACGGTGAGTGGGTATTCTTCACCAAGGCAAAGCATTAACCACAAACGTGTTGATTCTATGTAGTTATACCCCATCTTATCCCAAGCTTTTATATATATAAAGAAATATAAAGTATAGGTATTATGACATATATATATTCTGTAATTTCCTACCATCCTGAGTAAATGGTTTTCTTCTCAAAAAAAAAAGAAAACCCACCCCCCCCAAAAAAAACCAACAAAAACTAAAAAATTCCCAAAAAAACCCCAAAAAGCCCAAAAACCAAAACAAACCCAAACTTGTTATTTTGTAGTCTTGACTTGCTGCTTGCCCTTTTGTTACAATATATGTATACACATAAGCTACAGTGGTCGTAGGAGCTTGTTGCTTCTGGTGGATGGGGGACAGCAATTGAATGAAGAGCAGTGAAGAAACCCCAAAGTTTTSCCTGTTTGTAAACTAATCTTGGAGTATCTTGCAAGAAGAAATAATTAATCATAATTTTCTAGGTTAATGCACAGATGAGTAACCCCAATACTAACCCAGGAGCACAGCCTGTTCACCCATCTTGTCACCTCTATGATCACATTCCCAAGCTTTTTACTTTCTCAGTTACTCTGGCTGTGGGGGCAGGAGCAGAAGGCATGTTACTTTTCCCTAGGATAAGAAATTTCTTACTCTGCAGAATCTTTCACAAGCCTATTAATTTWATTTGAGAGTACATTTGAAATAGTAAGTTGGTATAGACATGATATTTGACACTGTGGTATCCTCTTGATTGTATTTATTCAGGGTCATGTTTTCATAGAAGTTGGGAGTTAATTTTTAGGCTGAGCTTATAGTTCTTAATTTCTTTCTTTTTTATTCATATAGAGCAGGTTGAGGATGTAGATGCTCAGTTTGAGCTTGTTGATACTGAAAAATAAGAAAACCAAATTTAAAATGGAATGTACTTTTAGAGGTTATGTCTGAAAGAAAACATTATTTAGTCCATAATGGTAATTTTCATAATATTTTAATAGTTGTGTTCAGATACAACTTGACCTTAAATATCACCCCAAATGCAAGCTGTTTTAACATATTTGTAATGCTAAGGTCTTCATTACTGTGATATTCTGTTTGCTCAAGGATTATAATCCATGGATATACTGTGCTATAGCTGAAATAAAACTTTCATCCTGTAGTAACTGCCTCTTGGATCTCAGTGTTGCATTGCATGTGTGAGTTGGATATAAGTTGGTGCCTGCTGCAGCCAAGTGTGAACAGCAAGTAGGCCAGTGATAAATACTTYGCTTAGGTATGGTGTTTATTTTCCTCTGACTCTGTTATGAAATATTAATCTGCCGAGTGAAGATTAAAATCTGAGACGTTTTCTGATGAAAAAAACAAATGTTATAAATCCCAGATCGATTATTTTCACTCTTCCTATTGTTTCATAATAACTCTGAACTAAATTACTTCAGATACGTGATTACTAGGAAGATGTAGAGATACTTAAACCCTTGCTAAGGAAACAGGTGGGGAAAAAAATGGTTCTTTAGTACATCCTCCTGCTGTGTGAAACTCTTTGTCTTTGCTATAAATAGGGTGATTTAATTTGGGAATTTGCTACTCCTTTTAAACACAGTTAAAACAGCTCTTGAAAATGCGCTAAGTTGTACCCGCTGTGTATGTAGCCTTCCAGTTGTAGCTTTTACATTTGACTCACTTTGGATACGTCTGTTTTTAACGCATACAGATAGAAAGGATGCTCACTTCTTCCATAAGTTTTATCGCTGTGATGATGATCTTAAAAATAAATGTGTGGTGTTCTTTCCCCTCACTCTCAGTCGTATCACCTACCAGAAAGCCCTAATAGGCAACAAAATAGTGTGAGACAGTATTTACATCACACTTTTGAAACAGATTCAAGCAGAGCCAGCTGCTGTAAGATTATTTTACAAATCTATTGCAAATTAATAAAAGGGGAAAATTGCCTTCCTTTAGGTAAATTACAGTCTCCTTGACTAATTACGTAGCATGAAGCCGCAGTAAATAAGTACTTGCCTCACTGCGTTAAATGGGAAATTGGAAATGTAATTTTGGTATCCAGACTTGTCTTTCTTTCCCCATTTAATTCGTATGTGTTCCAATAGCTTCATTCACGGAGCTCTGAGTGTTGCTCAATAAAAACTTCCGGAGGATAATGTGCTCAAGTGAAGCGCATGCCGGCAGCTTTGTTCAGCGCGGGCGAASCTGCGCGCTGCGCTCCGCGGCCGCGCTCGCCCCGCGCCCCACCGGAGCGGGCTCTGCCCGAGGGGCAGCGCTGCTTCGAGCCGGGGAAACGCCGAGCCACCAAACGGCGGCGGGAAAGGGAGAAAGGAGGGGACA